GTGTGTGTGTGTGTGTGTGTGTGTGTGTGTGTGTGTGTGTGTGTGTGTGTCAGGATGAATAACTGGTGCAAGTTAAAATCTGAGGTGTTTTTTTCTCTGATCTTGAGGCAGCAAAGTTGTCATAATTAATGTAGTCAGAAATTATGATTCCTAGAAAGCAATAATGCAATAATTTAGATCCAACACAGGAAGTAGCCTATTTTGTTTTAATCCCAGCAGCTACTAAATTATACCCACAGAGAAGCATGGAGTCTAAGTGTGAAATAAAATGTTCAAATATATCACTAACACATTTTATTTCTTTAGCTCACTGTTTTTACATTTAGCTATTTTTATTACTAAATGTGGCATTTAAATGTTGAAAAATACTAAAAGCTGAAAAAAATCTAAATATTAGATTTTTTTCTAAAACTTCAACATATATTGCAAAAAAAAAAAATCCAGATATTTTCAACAGATTTGAAAAACATYAAGYTTTGCTGCCATTTTGTTGACGACTAACCTGCGCTCTTATCTCATTCTGTGTTACGAGTACAGTTGAGCAAAACTGTWTTGTGTGAGATAGTCAAAAAATTGTCAAATAATATTTACCATTTTGTAATAACTTCTGTTTTTGCCATGCGATGATGTGTTTTTGTATGTGAGGCACTAACGTGTGCATGTGAGCTCGTGGCAAATAAAAATCTTCTGCCCCTCCATCAGGGGAAAGGGTGGGTTTAATTTCACACCTTAATATTTTAACCTGTTAAAAGGAAGTTAGTTCGACTTATGATTTGTATGTATAATTTTAGAACTCAGGGTGTCTGATTCAGAGTCCAAAACATTCAAGAGTCATCTATTAATCGTCATATTAATCTTAATTGGTTAAATGACACAATTAATCATGATATCACCTCTTTTCCTCCAGTTCTCTGCGAATGTGCTCATCTTCCTCGTCAAGATCCTTGTCCTCATTCTCCACAGCTTGAGAATTCACTGATAACATCTCTGAAAAATGTTGCCATTATTGTCYAGTTTTACAACAAAATTAAAGTTTTATCCTTTTTATTTAACACAAAGTCGCCCACTTCTGCCGGTGGAAGCAACTCGTCAAAATAAAAGCCATGACTCTGTAGTGCAATGTAGTATAATTTAATGGTTAGCCTCTAAATAATGATAGATTATATTGATTATTGATGCTTAATTGCACTTCACATACACATATTTTATTGAGATATTCAAAATATTTTTATACGCAGTATTGAATTTTATTTTTATACTTTGATTAAAATACTGCGATGACGTTGTTGTAAGAATAACTGCAGTTTATCTACACGCCTTGCACAGAAACAACACAAAACACAGTGTTTCTACATCTAAGCTTGTAGGACTTCCTTGGTTGTAAACTGAGTCACCTGAATAGGTGAGGTCATATCTCCTTTTTTAATGATGTCATTCTCAGGAGGCGTAATTCAGTTCTGAAGAAAAGTGTTAAAACATCTGTGTTGTAAAGAAAACTGTGCCAACGGTCACTGGCATTCACCCAGAATGTTACTTTATAAAACGTTTTAGTGCTGTGAATTTTGCATTATACAGGTATTTAAGAAAAAAATAAATAAAATTGGATGATAGTTCTACAGGAAGAGAGGCTACAGCTACCTGAGAAAGTCATATACACAGGTAAGATATTTATTATTTATATCTGAACTACTGCTTCGAGCTTCAATCTAACAAGGATCAAATATCCAAGCTGAGAACTTTAGAGTCAAATCCATGCTTAAACTTGTCATCTGTTCAAGGTTTAGTCAAGTCGGAACAACAGTTTGACCCTTTCGTCTGGAACAAAAACCTTCATCAAGCTCCATTAGGAAGACAGACACGACTCGTCCAGACACACGTTGTGTCATTCAGCAGGATGAAGGATGAGGAGTTTGTCCATGGATGCCACAGACGGTTTCCTGACTCACTCCCTCATCTTCTCACTACAAATTGTTCCAGCCTTTTCCCTCCCCCTCTTGTAAATCTTTACTCATCTTTTCCTCTAATTATCCCACCCAGCCTACAACTGCTCGGCCTCTGGTGCTCAGATCAGATGAGGGTCAGTTTGAGGCAACGTTAAGGGCAGCAGTGTGAGAGGTTTTTTTTTTTTTTTTGCATTCATTATTTAAACTCACAGAAGTGGATATTAGTGCACTTTGAGAGTCTGCAGTGTTGAAATATTTATATTAGCAGAGAATGAGATGGTTGGGTTGGTCATGAGGAGGTGAATACTGCTTTTATGCTTCTTTTTTTATTTTAAATGCGCTTTTTTGCTCCTTTTCTTTTTCTGGGCAGATCAAAACAGGAGAGGCTGGTCCATAGCCTCCTTTACAGAAAAAAACACACAATTTTACCTTTTATTTTACAATGTGGAGCAAAATTTCATACAATTAGGACAATCCTGAATTGCTAAACTGGAAAATAGTATAACAACTGGGAAAATAAAGGGTTTATGTGTTCATCCACAGATGCAGTTCTCTTCCCCCCTAAACCTGTCTTGTCCTCCATCCCCCACCAYCTCACTCTCCAAATCACAGCTGACTTTACGGCATCGCAGCTCTGTGTGCTGACGCATCAGTAGTAGCGGCAGGAAAAAAAATAAATAGAAAAGTGTGCACGTAAGAGATGATGAGAAGGCAGGGTGTGAGTGAAAGAGGGGGGCCCCGACGGAGAAAACGAGACAAACCGAGGCAAAACTGTGATTGTGCAGAAAAGATAAGAGCCAAGCAATTATTGAAACACACATAGGGAGAAAAGAGATAATCAGCGCGGCTCACATGAGGGCTGGAGACAGAACACACAGATCTCTGTCTGAGCCTCAGGGACCTGCAGGCTTTATTACATTAACGAACACAATGCCAGCCTTTCTGTCCTGAGGCCTGTTGTCTGCTCGGATCCAAAGCCCCCTTTYTTTCTGTATGATCCTCTTTGTAAAGAAAAACCTCAGCGGTTTGAGATCTTGTGAAGAGTTACATCTATTACATACAGGGTTGGCAGTCAGACCACAGCAGATCTGAGGCTCAGCTTTACACAGATTTGGAGAAAACTTGACATTTAACAGAAAARCTGTGAGAAAACAGGAGAATCAAAGTTTAAGAAGTCCTATAATCAACATTTAGGCAGCAGAATTAGTAATTATTACTGAGATTCTAAATTTTAGTACATCATAGGGAAATGTGATAGGACACTGATTATATACTGTATATACCGTACATCATTAAAGGTTTTTTCTTTTTYACATTTTGCATTATCTTAATCTCTAAGAGCGGTGGATTCAGTGCAKATTTTTAAAAAGCACCTAAAAACTTAATTGTTTAAAGCAGGTTTTAATGCATGAGTTTAATGTCATTTAAGGAGGGGGGTATACTAAGTCATCAACTTTTTTCACTATATATTATGTTATAATGTCATTCCCTCATCCAAAACATACACAGTGTTGCTTTGACTCATTCATGCATGTTTGAGAAATCCTTGAATCTCCTGTGGCCATGTGGAGCAGCCTAAATGATTCCTGATACAAAACTCCACCTGTTTGCTCAAAGCTCCTCCCTGGAGTTCRGTGTGCAGCTGAGCTCCCGCCCCACAGGGCACCCCTCCCCCACACCAGACTAGCAAAACATATTTGAAAAATGGTGGATGTTCATGGCTTCAATGCAAAACRTGGCTTCATAATGATCTATATTTATAGTTTCTTCACAAAAAGTAGCTAAACATTGATTTATATGTATGAGAGGATGACTGGGAGATATGTTAYTTTGATATWTACAGCATTTCCATAACAGCTGAAGGTAATATAGTTACTTGATTGTGGGATAGAAATGATCTATGTTGGAAAATACAGTACATAACATCTTCCATTAATGCTTTATTTTTTGTTCATGTGTTTGTTGTGCTCTGTTGTGTGAAATTCTGTTTGATTGTGAAGCACTTTGTGGCTACTTAACTRTGAAAAGTACTATAAAAATAAAGTTTACTTACTTATCAGTAGGATCTGTGATATCAGCCTGGTTAAATAGAGTTAATGACACCATACATCTTTTGCAGGAGAACTATAAACTATCATTCTCTTTATTTTTATAACGTATGATGATGATGCTACATAAACTTGGTTGTGAAATACTGGATTTTACATACTGTACTTATAGTTTAGCATACTGACCTTGGAGTTTTACATACTGTACTTGTAGTTTAGCATACTGTACTTGGAGTTTTACATAATGTACTTGTAGTTTAGCATACTGTACTTGGAGTTTTACATAATGTACTTGGAGTTTTACATACTGTACTTGGAGTTTTACATACTGTACCTGGAGTTTTTGCATTCAGTATGGAGTTTTACATCCTATACTTGAATTTTGCATACTGTATTTGAATTTTGCATAATGTACTTGGAGTTTTATATTCTGTACTTGGAGTTTTTGCATACAGTACTTGGAGTTGTACATACTATACTGGAGTTTTACATACTGTACTTGTCATTTTGCATACTGTACTTGAATTTTGTATTGTGTATTTGAATTTTGCATACTGTACTTGGAGTTTAGCATACTGTACTTGGAGTTTTACATACTGTACTTGGAGTTTTGCATCCTGTACTTGAATTTTGCATACTGTATTTGAATTTTGCATACTGTACTTGGAGTTTTATATTCTGTACTTGGAGTTTTTGTATACAGTACTTGGAGTTGTACACACTATACTGGAGTTTTACATACTGTACTTGTCATTTTGCATACTGTACTTGAATTTTGTATTGTGTATTTGAATTTTGCATCCTGTACTTGAATTTTGCATACTKTACTTGGAGTTTTACATACTGTACTTGTAGTTTAGCATACTGTTKGAGTTTTACATACTGTACTTGGAGTTTTTGCATACAGTAATTGTCATTTTACATACTGTACTTTTGATCTGATTTCTGCTCCTGATTATGGTGAAAACACAACAAAGAACATTTTGTGATTCGCTTAGATCCATTTGTTAAGTTTAGTGTATAGTGCAGCTTTCAAATCCAAACACACACACACACACACACACACACACACACACACACACACACACAC